GGAGGGTGCTCTAGCGCAGGCGTTTGTTAACTAGGTGGTTGTATCTAATTAGTTGCTGTAGTAATTAACCTTAGCTAGATGTTAAAGTCTTATTACCTAAAAGTAACTTAATCTTCTTAACACTTTTTTTACTTTTTTAACTATGCTATTATAATATCTTTATAATAGTTTTATAGAGTAAAAAGAGGAGATTTAGACTATGTTATATAAAGCTTATAGCAAAATTGTGTTAAGCCTAGATAAGTAGAGTAGTCCTAACTACCTTTTAATGCTAGGAGTTATTGCGCATTTTATTAGTAAGTAAGCCTTATTAAACTTAGCTTATACAGCTTATAGATGCGTACATAGATGCTAACACCTAGCTGCAAGACCTACTTATTAGCTTTAAAAACCTATACAGCAACAAGACTAGTGTAAATTAAGCATGTACTATTATTAAGGTTCTTTAGGAGTATAATATTAAGTTAAAATTCTACTGCTTTATAGCAGATAACATGTTAAATAATAACATCTAGCTTATTAATTATCTTAACTTACATATAACTCTTAACTTTAGCAGCAACAACTAAATACGCTGCGCTAGCCATACTATTTAAATTATTGTTAAGGCAGTTATCTACAGCAATAATATAAGCTTATAGAAATAAGAGCTAGCTAATGTAGCTTTTTAGAATTAATTTAAGCTTTATTAATAGCATAGAGTTGTTAGAAAGCTTTATAACTTTTATAACTTAGTCCTTTGCTTAAACAAGTGTTGTAATAGCTTTACAGCTATTATAACTACACTAAGTAAGAAGGATGTCCTCTAGAGCTTTAGTACACTAAATCTACTATAAGATAGCAGCGTACAGTAGCATTCTGTTTATCTTATAATTCTATGTTATTTTAAACTTAAAGAGCTTATCTAGCGCTTTATCTAATCTAAGCGCTATAACATAGGCCTTACTAATAAAGTTAATAATAATATTAAAGATAACAGTTATAATCCTTTACTTAATAGCCTTACTAATAATAAATAGGTAGAGGTAGAGCACATAAAAGACTTTTTAAAGATCTTTTATAAAATAACTAAACACCTTAAAGGCAGCGCTAGCAAATTAGGCTACAGCAGCTTATAGTAAATAATTATATACCTACAGGTAATTAATAATAAGCTTAAAGCGTAGAGAGAGCGCCTATTTTATAAGCACTACAGCAACTACCTTAAAAACAGCGTTGCCTTTAGCATTAAGAAGCTTACTACGTACTAGAAAACTCTTGTTTTAGAGCTAGAGATCTCTTACTACTGTGTGGTAACTATTCTTAACCTGTCTCTCTGCCTTCTCTAGTTTAAAGACTACTAGAAACACTACCTATCTTAGTATAAGCATATAAAGTTGTCTATTTAGAAGATCTATACACACTACTTAAAGACCTTTAAAAAGGAAGAGGAGAAAAAAGAGGCAGTGTTGCTAGAGATATTATAGAGGAAGCTCTTAGTAGCTTACAGCAACCTACATAATAAGCGCTTTAAAAAGGCCCTCTTAGTTAACCTTACTATCCTTTATAATAATAAGGGTTGTAGCTTAAAGAGGAGGTAGAAAGTTAATAAGTTAGACTTCTACCTTAATTCTCTAGTAAAAGATAAGTATGCTAGAGATTAGCTGCTTACTTAGCTGCTTAAGTAGTAGCAGTAGTAAAGTTAACTTTACTACTTTATTTTTTATAAGATTGCCCTTAATTTCTTATTAATTTTAGTAACTTTATGTAAGTGTAAGCAGTGCTTTTTATAGGCTAAGGAGACTATTATAATAAAAAGAAATTAACTATTAGTATTAATAATAAAGGCTTTTTAACTATAGAAGAATTAGTTATGTAATAACACTGTTACTAGTAAGCTAACTAAGCTTATAGAGTACATTAAAATAGTAAGATTAATAACAGTAGATTTTACAAGGGGTATTATAACTTCTTAATTAGGTATAGTCTTTAGCTTTAGCGCAATTACTTTATAATACTTTAATATACTTTAGTTACTGTATCCTAACCGTACACTAACGTCATCTCCTCCGTACAGTTAGTTAGTAACAGCCTCCTCTTCCGTAACTGTACTATACAGCCTCCAAAAGGCTCCGTAACTAACGGTTGGACACACTGAGTAAAATACTATAGTGTTTTATACCTAAAATGCTCCTAAGCAATTAGCGATTAGTTTTTTCCCTTCACCAGCTAACAGTCCGCCGTAGGTGTCCCCAATTGTCTCCGTGGTAGCTTCCACCTCTCAGGTGGCTTGTACTCTTCACTAGTTCCAAGAGGCTGCTTATCTTAACATTGTTGCCCCTGCTCTTCCCGCTTCTTCGCACGATTTCTTCAACTTACAATCCCATTTTATAGACTATGGCTCGCTTCCTCATCATTCACTGTCAATGGGCCTGCCCATCAACCTCGGTACATGATAGTAACGCGGAATCCATCCCTTAGATTGTTGATTTTCTCGAGGTCCATCCTAGGCAGATGTTTCAGTTTAAGCATGTCAAGCCTCCATCTCGTCATCTTCAGAAGTAGAGTATATATTCGCCAGATACGCTCGCGCTCCTTATACGTAAGCAAAGGCAAGAGAATCTACCCACAAAGGCCTAGAATATTCCTCTATTCTTGAGACTTTCGGGAAACAGGAGAATGTGTGTATCAGAGACAGTCCCTAGAGCGTTATTGACGTTTTCCTACCGAGGCAGGATGAGGGGGTAGCATGCTAGACCACACTCTCTTACAACTAGGGCCACTCTTCTCCCCTTGGGAACTTAGTTTCGACGATGCACTCTTAGTTGGAGATGGTGTCAATTCCACCTCCGTCGTCACTAGCCAAAATAAATTCTTGTAGAGACTCTAGAGCCATTATGAATCATCAGCCTACGGAACTTAGCTCTCACGAACCTCCATGCACAAAACTTACCCGTCACATTTTCCGCAATCATAGGGTTACCCCTATCAATCGGATCATTGAATTTCTCCCTTTCCTAGTTCACAGAATAAATAGCATTGAACGAGAAATGCAGATTTCCATTCGATGACTGCACGATCCCATAATGTCCATCGCCTTCTCGGACATTTGACTGAATCATGGGGGTTAATTTTCCGTTTGTATTTAAGAAGCTATTGGCCTTTCTACAGATCCTAGAAGTAACGCATGTTGGTTGTGAGGGATATGGAGAGGAGAAGGTAAGTTTGGTATAAATATATCCTAGTAAACATAACGGCACCCCTCAATCCAATTCCCTAAAATCGAGTTGGTTGATCCTGCCCCAACGCACAATTACTTTTCCTAATCCTCAGCAAATCCACAATCCTAAACTCCTTCTTAACAAGCCCCTGATCCGTGGTCTAAGATAAATACTTCCTGGCCTACTTATCAAGCGCCTTGTTCCCAGTCACTCCCCCCAATCGCGCAGCAATCAGGAATATTTGCGCATTACGAACGAGAACTTTCCATTTTAGTCTTCACTGAATGTGAAAATTACGTACCGGAACCTGCCGCTGCAGTTTCCATCATCCCAGCGCACTGTCTAGGTGTCGAAACCGCTTTTCACTGGCCGAGAAAGGTGAAGTTGTAGGAGGCCGGCTTGGGGAAGTTAAGTCCGGCGGTGTAGAGCGCCGGTAGAGCGCGTTCTGATTAGTTTTGATTTCAATTGATACATGCTCCTTAGCGCTACTTATTTAATCCCAGGTGTAGAAGCATTCATGAGCCTGAATTTACGTACGATCATGATTGCCTGATTCGCCGGCATGACATATCATAGCCCCCATGTTGTGCATGCAATGCCTCGGATACATCACCATTGAATTGGATATTACCCACCAAATTCGAATATGATATAGTGGCGTCCTATATTATTTGCGGTTTCGGACCAGGGGGTTGAATCATGGCATTGAGAGTTCAATGGGCTCGGGGTGGAATCGGCCGATAGGAGTGTCTGAGGGGCTATAAGGGTAGTACCATTTATGATCAATAAGGCGAAGCTTTGGATTATGGATTTTATGGATTCTCGCAGTCAGTTAACTCGAGAAAGGTTTGGAGTTGTTTGTGATATCGAAGCCTACTACTATGGATGGCGAGAATAAGAGTGTGGAAATTAGCAATTCCGTGAATTTCATTTTCAGCCCTCTATGAGCTAATGCTTTATGCTAGCGCAAACTTGCATGAAGTAGCATCACTCTTGGTGTCCTAGTATAACTTTTTCTTTTCCATGACCCCTTTTTCGTTCTATGATTTATGGTGGGTTCTAGTAATTTGCTTCTGGGCTCGCCCTTTATCATCAAACGCTCTGCTTTCATATGCCAAGGGTTTAAGTCACTTGAATTTAGAAGTCAATCGGTCTTCTATAGAAGGTGATACTTCTATCCTAGGCAGATCAGAAAGTAGAGAGGTTGGGATATTGTTGAATCTAAAGCATCCCACCATTTCGAGGCTACAATTCAGCGCCCTTTGTGTGCCAGTCAACTATCGCTACAATGTGCTACTTTGCGCCACGCTACTCCGGCATTAGCTCCCTGAAGTCCAGTGGCAATAATTTCCAACCCAATCGAAGTTTCCTAGGAATGAGCAACGCATCTCTCCAGGTTTGGTGGTTGTTGTCAAATATATTCTTTTTCTTACTATGGACCTTGTTCCGGTCCCAATAGGTGCCTGGTGTTGGATTTTGTCATGGGACGAAGGGTCATATGATAATAACCTCGCCGTACCAGGAAGCGGAGAACAGCGCTAAATATCGTCGATGGGCCTGCACTACCTATCCTTAAATGCTCTCTTCCTGTACTTCCATCTTAGGTTCATTTAATCTTTGAATCCGTTTTGGAGGCGAATGACTCTCTGCGTTAGAGACGCGCTAAGATATCCCTGGGGGAGAAACTGAAGCTGAGGCTACTAGGGATTCTCCGGCGAGCTATCATGTCGAAATGAAACTTAGCACACCGGTCACGACTTTAGGCGCAGCTAGGAAAGAAAAGTCATGATTGACTGTTTCGCTAAAGAATCGGGCACCTCATTTCAGCCTCCCGCCTTAACACCTCGAATATAGCATAGAGACATGTTCGATCCAAAGTTCTGCAATGGAACTCCACTGCTTCCCATCACTTGTCTTTACTGCCCCAACCAAGATGAAAATAGGTGCGGGCTAAACTGAAATCGTACACATTATCTGCTAGGACTTCCTTACAATCTCCCCTTAGACTTGCTGTGGGGTATCCACCGAGCTCTTCTCCGTACTTCCAACCGCCTTCGTTGACCCCTGATCCAAGCTCCCCATATCTCCACCCTGATCAAGCTTTCCCTCTGGCAAATCGTCGAACTCACCCCTCTCATACCTATCAACAAACGCATTGAACCCATCCCGGCCGTCCATTCGATAACCCCCAAAGTACGTTGCCCCATTGACAACAACCAAGACTCCTTCCATACTACACACAATTCTCAACACACCACGAATCTCATCCACGTTGTCGCAATTGATGACAGTAAGCCCCCAGACCTGACTACTGAGCCAGACATACACAAGTCCTAGCGCACGACCCAGCGTGATGAATACGAGCAAAAGCACGAGCGCGATCATAGTGATGACAAGATTCCCACCCCACTGTGCAGCGAAGAAGAACGTGAGCACAAGGAGGAGGCCAGCTTCCATGAAGCCTGTGAATAGGGTGATGAGTGGACTGCGGCCTTCGGTCGAGAGGTGGATGAGGAGATAGACGGGTCGCCATCGTCGAGCAGACATGGTGCGGCCGATGAAGCCAGCCTTGATGACGTCGACGAAGTTACGCCCACTGAAAATGTACGCAACGCGGGGGCGGGTGTAGGCAATCACTCGCGAGAAGATACTAGGGTGCTTTCCGTTCGGCTTAAGGTTGGCGTTGTGAGCAGTTGGAGACGGAGCCTTGCGGAAGATCCGAGATGCCAGGTCCCGAATGGCGAGGACGTAGGGGGGTAAAAGCGGCGGAAGGTGTGTAGCTGTTGTCTCTCCAGTTTCACTGTTGGATACAATTTCAGCGAGGCAATCTTTCGCTGAAGTGGAAAGAGCGTAGACTGGGTCCACGTAGTTAGTGTCTTGAAGTGTTGGAGAGGAATGTCGCCAGCGGGAATCGGTACCTTTTACACGCTCGTGGTCACTCGCTTCCCAAGACAGGTAGCGGAACAACGCGTTGACCCCAGCACTGAGCCCAAGATACAGGCCAGTCCAGCTAGAACATAGGTTAGTGAGTCATTCGTCGCATTTCCGAGTAGACATGAATATAGGCAAAGAGATATCCCATACTCTGTATATCCAAGGCTGTCATCGCACCCAAAAATGAACTTAGGCACTCCGAGGTATTGGAAGAGCGGATAGACTGCCAGCGCGAAGATTATAATTTGGGCTGCAGCTACCAGGAGGGCAGGCGCATGCCAAAGATGCCATCGCCTCTCCCATCTGGCGGCCAAGTCTTTGATGGCAACGAAATGAGCCTTGACATCATCACTGCTCTTATTCGATGACCAGTCTTGCAAGTCTTGCAGGTTCTCTTCCTGCTCTGCACTACCGTCCTTGCTAGCTTTCCCCAGTGCGCCGATCATAGCGAGGGCAGCGATTCCGAATACGGCGAGCGTATGAGAATTGGACTGCTTGACGGCAGACATCTAGCTCCACGTTAGCAAGGACCAATGAAGAGTTGAATGGCGATCTTGAAAGAATGAGATCTATCGAGCTTACACTTTGTACGGGTAGACCGAGAGTGTAGAAAGCAGTGGTTAGTCCAACCAAAGCACTTGTCGTATACGCCTCTGAACTGCGAGGGACATACCTTGCGGCAATATTGTCAGGGTACAGAGAAGCGAGAAATGCATGCGGAGCAGCACTCACAAATTTCCGAAGGCGAGGAATGTGGGAAGTAGTGCCATCAAAGTGGTTGCCGCCGATGACCCCATCTTTTCATACTCTGCCTTATTTGATAACACTTCGTCGATCTGCGCCGCGCATGCACTGTTGGCCCCCACACCTATGTATGCACCGTGAATATAATACCAGGTCTGAGTAGTCATGTTGGCTATGGCATCGAGATAGCTTGACACGTAGTCGGGATGAGGGAAGTCTGCTTGCGGCATCCCCTTCGATGATAGCCACTCTGCATTTTCGCGGGATGCATTGAGAAGTACTGCGCTGTATTTATTATACTCGTCTCTAGTCAGATTTGATTGCGCAAACTGGGTCAGGTTCCCCGTTTGTTCCGATTCGGGTGGGACGGTTGGGTCATCGTAAGAGTCCCAGTACCAGAGCGCAGAATAGAAGAGCGTATAGAGGTCTACCAATAGGGAACTCTGGTTTGCGATAGCCTCTTGCAAATTCAGTCGGTCGTCATGTATGCTGATTTGAAAACGGCCTATCGTGGCCTTGTGTGGGTTCGTATTGACTCCATCCTTTGAGGTTGCGAGGACTGCTTGTACAAACACAACACAAGCGATTAGCAAGCCGCGCATCCAGCCTTTAGGATGCCCAACCATGGCTCCGGCAGAACAAAAAATGAACAGTGCACCAGATCTTGAAGAGGGTTGAAAGTTTTAAACTGAGAATTATTAATGAACTTTGGGCCAAGGGGTTGATCTCGCAAGACTTTTATATATAACGCGTTGGCACAAAGGATGCCCCTGAGGCTGGTGCGTCACGAACGTTAAATTCCGTCTCCAACTAGCGGGGATGTGGAAGTTGGGGGCCAATATAGTAGACAGACTGAGTTTAGCGGTGCCGAAAATAGGAAAATGCTGCTGTGGTGGTCGGCTGTTACTTTGAGAGGCAACAGAAGGCAAACAGGCGGAAAAGGGTTTCTCACCGTCCTCGTCAAGGAAGTTTTCTTCACCGGTGTGAGCTTGGACCTGGTGTTGCTCTACTTGATTCATAATTGGCTATTGGGTGGCCGGGAAGCAATCGTCGTACGCAGTAAGTGGTCCTGGCCTCGAAGAAGCGCTAGCCTATCAACACCGGGAGCCAGTAAGAGGCAGGCTACAATAGATATCTATCAGGGTGAACCGTCAGCGCCACACCTACAATAGCGTAGAATTTAACAGTCCACTCTAGAGAAATGGACAAGAGGGATCTTTCTTAGAAGGAAAGATTATTAAGGGACTCTTTGATTGTTATCACTTAAATTACTGTATTGTAAGTCCAGTCACGCAACCTACTAGCACCGGCCCAAGAGTTCAGGGTGTGTACCTTGCGTATCACGATGTCGGACCGTAACACTACTCTAAATGGCGAACGTCCGTCCCCTTGTGGCGAGAAACCCTGCGTAGCGAGAACCCGCCTGATTTTAATCATAACAAAGTCAGCAACGGTCAAGAGACGCTATACCCTAAATCTCGGAATAAACACCTTAAATCTTGCGGTTTGTCTATACTTCATGCCGTCCGGGGAGGATTCCTCCTCAGCCTGTAAAACCACATTTCACCACAGGCTTAGACAACGGCAGCACTCCGACAGTCTCGGAATTACTACAAAGTTCGTGTATCATGTCCAAAACTTGCTATGCTGTAGAGGAACATGACAAGATTTTATCCCAAGAGCAGTGTTCAGATGTTTGTGCTCATTGCCCTTCAATGGCTGTCCAATGCCCCGTCATGCGGGGTTAGCAAACGAGAGTCCCTACAGGGCCTTCTCATGAGCGGGTTGTTAGCGTCACCCATCCCATGGCCCCATCAGGCTTCTGACGTCTGTAAGTCTCCGGCTGAAACCTTGTCTGACTAGGTAACAGAGCCAGCTGTCATGCCTTGTTCATTCTTGATGCCCGTTGTAAACCTACGTACGGACTTCTCAAACGCATCAGGGCACCATGCGCTTTTATTGTTATACCCTAGTTCCTGATTTTAGGACTAAAAGTCTTTAAATAGCATGAATTATACGCTTACTTCCGCTTCCAGCCGAGCTTTTGCAATACCCTGTGCCGTTTGGACGCCAACTTAACTGGCTTTGTGGATGAGTGGGCAGTTGTTTCCGGACGCGCATGCTCATCTACTGTCTCGCTCTCGCTTATAGAATTGATATATTCTCTCTCTTCGCCCAAAGCAGCAAGGGTATCGCGTAAAGTCTGGCACTTTGGATGATCTTTTCCTAGCACCTTTTCATACCCTGAGAGAGTTTTGGAATACCAGCTTCTAGCATCCTCGACGCGGCGTTGGTACTTGGACAGGGAAGCAAAGCCCCACATGGTATTCAGCGCCGGAATATAAGTTGAGAGGCGGTCAAGCCCGATTGCTTTCTCGTATCCTCGCAGCGCCCGCTGGTACATCTCCTCTGCCTCGTCCATCCTGCCTAGTTTCATATAGAGGCCTCCCAAGTTGTTGACCGTAGA